CAACTTTGGGAACCAAAGTGCAGTGGTTCCCAAAGTTTTCAGCTTTTGACCCACAAAATAACAGTAGCAGAGACCTGTGCCCCAGCTATTTTTGGATGATAAACATTTGTATCAGGTCAACTAAACATGGGCATAGTAACAATATTTTATACTACATTTGTCCATTTTAAATATACTAACCTCACTCCTTTATAACAACTAAGGCAAAAATGTAATTAATTCAGAAAATCTCTTCAGGACCCCACCTTGATGTTTCAGGACCCCACTTTGGRTCCCGACCTCAACTTTGGGAAACACCGCTCTACACTAAGGGGATGGGCTGCTAGCAACACAGGCTTCCAGCGCTGATGCTACCCGCATGTGCAGAAAAAGACGTGATGTCTCATTCATTCAACGCGGTCTTCAATGGAAGTTATCTGTTAGCATGTTGATTCTGAAGTTGCTGTGCAGTCAGGGCCAATTAAATAATTATCTGACCTGTTTGTTTAGTTCAGTGTTGAACCTGCCTCTGACCGAATGCTCCGGTGCAGCATTTTATTTTTGGAATGAAGCGTCATGTTTAAACTGAAGTATCGATCGAAATACCGGATTGATAAGCAATACCAATAAGAGTAGTAGTATCAGTAAAACTTTAATGATACCATCCCTATACATGAGGTTATATGGTGCAGAGGATATTTCATGATAAAATACCACATGATGCAGTCAAGATTAACTACTGGTGCTCAGCGTGTAAACAGAAAAGAAAATAAGATAATGGAAGTTTCACAGATGATCTAAAACAAAGTTCAGGTTAAAGTCTGGTTTTCAGTGTTCTACCTTCATAAAATAATGATTTTGTGTTGTTTTATTAATTTTAGGAATTTGGTAAAATATACCTCAAATAAATGAGAAATGCATAGGTTTGAGTAGATCTATTATAAATTTTTTCAGGGAAGTATACCCCTGGAACCTTCTAGAACAGCTGCACTCCACAGCTGCTCGTTAACATGAACAGGTGTTCCTCGTTGCTGCCAGCAGATGTTGGCAGATATGAAATAAAGCTTTGGTATTATGTTTCAAATGAACTATATTGTCAACTATTAACTATTAATTGGACAAGCTGGTTTCTAAAGGTCAAAAATTAACATCAGAGACAAAACTATTTAATTTGGGAYAAGAATGYWTGTAAACTGGCAGTGAGATTTAGAAAATTGTACAAGAGGCACCACCTGAAATCTTGCCTAGGGTGCCAAATTGGGTAGGTCCGGCCCTGGTACTATCATTTGTTCACTTGCTTCCTGCAATGCAGCTGTTGCACAGACTTCTAAAAATCATCTGAACGTCAAAGGTTTTTCCACTGAAACCCAAGCTGAATTTCTTTCTTGTAGCTCCAAATGGTTCTGAGGAGGTTGCGTAGTATTTTTACTGTAGTAACTACAAATAATTACAGAGAGCAGTTGACCGTGAAATGCAACCCACCTTGTTATCCAGTGACATTTAAATTATTGGGATCACTCACGGGCACATCGTTTGCAAAGGCCAGTCTTTAAACAGTATGTGTTCATGAGTTTAGATGTTTCAGCTACGATGTGGTTTGTGTGTGTGTACGTGTGTGTGTGTGTGTGTGGGCTCTGTGTGTGTGTGTGTGTGTGTGTGTGTGTGTGTGTG